CGGTCCAGCTGGGTACTTAGGGGTGGCCCCACGAAGCGTAAATGGGTGAAAAACAACCCAGATATATGGTTATGTGTCAAAACCCTGGTAATCTAGGTACCGAAAATTGCTAATGGATGGTTGTTCCCCAAAATATGGTAATTTCATAGGTTTTGACCCATCTCCATATATTGAATATCCTAAAAATATGGGATGAAAATGGATGAAGTATGGGTGATGTATGGATTATGAGATGCAGAGATTCGTGGGTCGTGGGGTCGTGGGGCCCGCACCAAGTAAGCGATTTTTCAAAATTCTGATCTACATAGATCCTCGAGACAACATAAAAAACACAATTTAATTTACTATTACCCTCTGGTAAACATACAAAAGCTATTGAAAATTGCGATATAAATAGTGGATTTTCTTATTAAAAATGGTGATTCTCCATAGTTTTTTGTATGTTTACCAGAGGGTAATATGTCTACCTAGACCCTCCGTTTGGACCGGAGTTTCACCCCATTCACCCCATTTTATTTTAGTACATTTATCAATATGTGAACATATGTGAAGTAGCATCTTACATTTGGGGGACTACGTCGGGTATTTGATGCGGGCATGCAAGTACGAGGCCATATACCTTTCAGTAAATTAACATAGACCCTGCCATGAGTCCGGACTTGGAAATCTAAGTTTCCACTAAACATGGATGATTTTCAGGGTCGAAAAAAAAAACTTCGTCAAATCATCCATAGATGGACCATTTTCCATAGCACATTTTTTTCAATAGCCAGAATGGTCCATTTTTGGGTGATTTACCATATACTATATTTATCATATGGCTATGAATCAATACCTATAAATTCCATTCTTTTTGGGGGATGAACATCGATTTTTATCCCAGCTATTTTGGTGTTCACCAGAGGGGTACAGGGTTTTGACCCATATCCATATCTATTGATGACCATTGTCCATACAAGGTGGTGCCCCATAGTACACTAAGTTGATTTATAATTTGGTGAAATCTATGCTCTATGGTAGATATATCTATAGTTACCATCATAAACGATACTATAATAAACCATAGTTAACCAAGTGATTGTAGCTATATAGTTAGATTATTTATAAACCAAGCTATAGTTTACTATATTAAACAAGGTTATTATAGGTTAATATAGTTCACTATAGCTATATTATCAAACCAAGTTATAGCTGGGGCACCACCTTTCGGGTTACGCCAGGATGGCAGCAACTCGCCAGCGTTTGTGCACCGGCGGTGTTGCAAACGCTGCTACTTCGAGAAGAGGCCCAGTGGTGCAGGCGATGATTTTTTCATGACCAGTAGATTTGGATATTATATATCTGTATAATATTGTGTATATATATATATTATATAATAGTGGTTAGTAATGGTTAATAGTGGTGAGTAATATAATATATTATAACCACATTTGAATATATATAGATCTGGGTAAATTATAACGACCTCACTGTTCTCCCTCACTGGAATAATGGTTAATGAGGGAAGTCACCCCAAAATGGCCGCAAGATTCAGGTTATTGAACTATTATAATTTACCCAGATTATATATATGTATACATATATGATAGTACTGGTGGAATTTAATTTTATATCGATATATATATATTTATATATATATACACATTGTATACGTGCAATTTGAGGTTTCACCAGGAAAAATGGTAACCACCCAGAAAGATAGAAAATTGATTGCTCACTATTTTAGTAATAGGGTTTTTAATATGCATTGTTTATTAATGATTAATGTTTGTATAATAATGATTTAACATGTTGCTATGGAAAAAAAGCCCATTATACAATAGATAATTTGTTTGCTAACAGCTGTGACTGTCTACAGCTATGTTGAACTATCGGAGGGTCGCACAAACAGAACAACAAGGTTTGATGGGGTCTAATGACAATTTAATGCCTATGAAATTAAATGAGTTGCCAACCAAACAGACAATTTCTTCAGGAAACAACATGTGATGAATCCATTCGAATCCATGGTTTTAAGTTTCGAGCAACCAAAACTATTGTTGAACCATCAAAGTATGTGGCCTGTCCCATGGGTTTTGCCAAAAAAGTAGGAGTTCAAACACATTCATGACGTATGTTGTGTGGTTGTAAACAAACGAGAATGGGCATGTATATAATAATCCACGCACACATGCAGATGCCAGTCTCGCAACAAGGCTGGTCTCAAAAAGGGTACCAAAGAAAAAATGTGTATATATATAATATAAATTATAATCAATAGTTTTCCCATTATTTGATTCTAATATATTGGGGTAATTTCGGGGTATCCCTCACTTTCAGACAGACCCAAATCATGTTGATTATATTATATATTTCATTATATATATATATTTCATTATATGTATGTTTCATTAATATCCCATTGTATCCCCAACATTACCCAACATTAAGTCGAAATGTTGACTCAACATGAAGATAGCAATGTTGGTGAACAGAACTCCAACTTCGGTTTATGTTAGGTATACGGATAACTCCAATAACTATGGCTTATGGTAGATCTATAGTACTCATGAGATATAGTATTCTAGGGCTGTATAAATCAACAAACATAACTGCAAGGTGGTGCCCCAGTTCGATAGCGTTCAGTTGGTGCAAATAACTCCAATGTCACTATGGTTTTTGTTGGTGATATATCGAACTGGTTAATGAGGTTTATAAGATAGCTAAGTTGGTTTATAACTCCAATGTCACTATGGTTTATAGGTGACATATCGAACTAGTTAATGGGATTTACAACCCCAATTTATAACGTTTAGGGGGCACCACCATAACTGGGCACAACGTCGTAACGCCGCCGACGTCGCCGAAGCGCCACAGGAGCGCATCTTCGTCGACGTTGAGGAGCAGAAATCCCTCGAGGAGACGGGCCGAAGAAATCCGGTCTGACTTTCGGTGGAGTTATAACTTAAGGTTAAACCATAAATGCCATAACTTTAGGTGGTGTCCTATAGTAGTTATATAACTTAAGGTTAACTAGTTAACTAGTTCGATAATGTTCGATATATCTACCATTTTTTTAACCATAAACCAGAGTTAATTCACCAATTAAGCATTGACGAACTGGGGCACCACCTTGTAGGTTTGACTGGTTGTGATTGGTGACCACATCAGTTACATCCCGGGTTATCATTTTACAATGTTGTAACTGATGTTACCCAGTTATGTGTTAAAGCCAGATCAGTTACATGAGGTATGTGTTGGATCCCCCCAGTTATAGGTTGGTTTATAAACCATGAAAGAACCCCCACTAATTAACTATAGTTATCTATAGTTGTATCTACCATAAACCATAGAATTCAGCCATTTTTTGTCATTTTTTTCGGTGATATGTTTTTTTGGAGAAAACATCGGTCTGTTTCTACAGACCGCTGAGTTTTTTCGCGACTCCTCCAGGAGATTTACTTGGAGGTATTGCACGGCATGTTTCAAGGAGAGACAGCGGGGTTGGGGAAAAACCGCAATTTCTTCTATGAAAAATGGGAAATCCATGGGAAATCATCGAAAAACCCTATTTTCACAATCGGAAATGATGGGAAATCCATGGAAATCCTTGAACTATAGTATCATGAAAGCTATTTTCAATGGGAAATTTAGCTCGCTGGGAAAATCATGGAACCAAATGGGTGTTAATTGGGGGGAGGTTCTCCAGCTGGCCATGTTTGATTCCCAGCATAGCAATATGGTTTCTTACGCAGCATTGGACATCCTTTCCGTGCTATTTGTTGGTAATCCTGAAGAAGTTGTAGTAGGTCATTCAATTCCACTTGAGCAGCTTGGGACGTTGGCATGCGCTGATCTACAACGCAACATCAATCCTGTATAGCCTATACAGAACTGTTTGTGAAATCTAGTCAAAACCACCGAATCTTACAATGTTGCATCACTCATGTATGCAGGTACTTGTGAACATTTGTGAACAGTCCCCATCTCAAAGCAGACTACACTGATGAACACCGATGAACACGGCTTGAAACCATGACCACCATGACCACCATGACCACCATGACCTCTACCACAATGCTGTGGACATTTGCCCAGTCCTCTGTGATACCTCTCGATCATTTCAGGGCAAATAATACAGGATGGGGCCCCAGTTCGTTAGCTAAGTTGGTTTATAACTGTAATAACAATAGTGTATGATACTTATAAAATCTTATAAATATGTTTAGATGGGGTTATGAATCAACTTATAACTAGGGGGCCCCATCCTGTACCATTTGCAAAGATGCAATCATGAGCAATCCATTGTTGCCAGTTTTGGTATGAAACATAGGCAGACAGAATGGAGGTGCTGCCCTATTTTGTGCCAAAATACATCATAAAGGTGCCACATCTAAGGTGCCATACATCAATAGATCATATGGTCATCTAAAAGATGACTTACCGAGCTCAAGTGGTTTGGGTGATTTGCATGTTGAATTCCCAGAGGCAATACTGAAACTAGAAAAACATCTGGATATAGAAATGGGTAAATTATAATGACCTCAGAGAAAACCTCACTGGAATCATGGTTAGGATTCGGGGAATCATCCCAAAATGGCCTTACTTCAGATTACTCTCTGGTAATTTAACGTAGCTATGGAAAGATCGACCATTTTTAATGGGTAAATCCACTATAAATGACAATTTTCAATAGCTATTTTGACATAACCAGAGGGTAGTTAATTATAATTTGCCCAGATAGATGTGACCATAAAAGGTGGCCCCGCCAGTTCTGTTCGTCGGTTTATAACATTTTTTAACCCCGGTTAGCTAGTTCCCATTAACTAGTTTGATAAATAACTTATAGTTCCCATTTCTATAACTATAATATATAACTATAATATATAATATCTTGAACTAATAACCCATATAGTCAACTTAAGTTAACTTGCACCATATAGTTATTGAAATCGTGCTTATCAACTTACCTATCGTTTATAGACAAAAGAAAGATCGCTGCAAAAGATTGGGTGCTACCCGCTTGTAAGCTAACATAATTATGGATAATCACCATTTTGAATAGGCAAAATCATCCATAAATGGGGATTTTCAATAGCGAACTGTTAGTTTACCGAAGGGTAATGAAAATGACATATCACTATTTTTGGAGAGTTTTTCGGGGGGTCAAACTCAGGAAACTGGGTCGAAAACGAGGGATATATGTTGCAAGTGGGGGGACGATATGGCCACGGGTCAACTTGAAGAAAAACTCCAGGTAAGTCAGGAAAATCACCTTTCTCTAATGAAAAATCACATATTCATAGGTAAAGTATGGTAAAGTTCGCAATTTTATACTATGTCCCTATGGTAAACTGGCACAAGTAGATTAAAGAATCACCATGTGTCACAAATCATCGAAGTAAATTGGTCATTTTCCATACAAGATGGTGCCCCATAGTTAGCTAAGTTGGTTTATAAGTCCCATAACTATGGTTTATGGCAGATATAACTATAGTTAATGGGGTTTATAAACCCACTTATAACTGGGGGGCACCATCCTGTAGCTATAATTTATTGGAGTTCGTGCTCTCTTGTTTCTTGCTGAATCTTCGCATCATTTCAGAGGCTTACCCTGAATTTTGCTTAATTCCCTATAGCTTCAATTTTGCTTAATCGGCTAAAATCCCTTTGTTCTCATTGAAAAGCAACTACTTGACGCGTTCATGGTCATGACGGACAGGTCAAACCCTATCATTTGTTCCATTTCCGAACATGTCTATACCTTAAATAGTAGCATCTGTTTATTTTTAACCGTTTGCTATTAAAAAAAAGGGCTCATTTGTAGATGATCAACGTGATGAAAACTACCAAACATGGTAGTGATGTAAACCAGTTCGCTATGTCAAATCTCCAGAGGGTAGATCGGTAGATAATCTAGAAATTCCCCATTTATCACCATTAATCTGGGTAAATTATAACGACCTCACTGCGACCTCACTGGAATCATGGTTAGTAAGGGAAATCATCCCCAAATGGCCTTAATTCAGGTTAGTGAAATATTATAATTTACCCAGATTTATCACCATTAATGTCAACCCTGGATTAATAAACCCCGTTTACGGCTGTTTAATTGGGGGGTACCATTTAAGTATTGGATGACATGACTATTTGGGGAGTACCCCCCTAATTTCCATTAAACCATGGTTTAGCAAAATCCGGGGTTGACATTAATGCCAACACCGGATTAATAACCACCCCCCCCCTAGAAGGTAGGAGGTACCTGAAAAAAGACCCGTAAATAAACGGCCCTGAACCATAAAATTCTGAACCATAAAATTTTGGATATGGCTTACGTCAATTAGATCTTAATAGAATTCCATTGGATTTGTTAAAATTTCATGGATCAGAAAGGTGGTTGATTAATCAGGGGCAAACCATGGTTATTATTAATGGGGGACATGGGCTCATGGGGGGTACCCTTTGGGAGCTATCCAAACTGATGTTTTTTATAAAGATTTTAATTAGAAATCGATCATTTGGGGAATAGTTGTTTTTTGAAATTTTCAATGATCAACTTAAACCTGAAGTATAACAATGATGATTAAAAAAAGGTAAAAAATTACTTTACTTCGTGTGATCCCCACCATGACATTTATACATTTTCTTACTGGCAAATCTTCTGGCATTCTATCTGACATATCTTCTGACATTCTATTTGACATTCTATTTGACATTCTATCTGGCATATCTTCTGGCATATGATCTGGCATATCTTCTGGCATATCTTCTGGCATTCTATCTGGCAAATCTTCTGGCATTCTATCTGGCATATCTTCTGGCATTCTATCTGGCATATCTTCTGGCACTCTATCTGACATATCTTCTGGCATTCTATCTGGCATATCTTCTGGCATATATTCTGACATATCTTCTGGCATTCTATCTGACATATCTTCTGGCATATCTTCTGACATATCTATCTGGCATATCTTCTGGCATATTTTCTGGCATTCTATCTGGCAAATCTTCTGGCATTCTATCTGGCATTCTATCTGGCATATCTTCTGGCATATTATCTGGCATTCTATCTGGCATATCTTCTGGCTTATCTTCTGGCATATCTTCTGACATTCTTTCTGACATTCTTTCTAACTTTCTTCTGCACATTCTTTGTCCCATATCTTCCTACATGAGGTCCGGCAGGGAACACTTGGCGTGGATACTCGCGGTTGAGGTCCGGCAGGGAACACTGGGCGTGGATGGTCGTGGTGGAGGTCCGGTAGGGAACACTGGGCGAGGATGGTCGTGGTTGAGGTCCGGCAGGGAACATTGGGCGTGGATGGTCGTGGTTGAGGTCCGGCAGGGAACATTGGGCGTGGATGGTCGTGGTTGAGGTCCGGCAGGGAACACTGGGCGTGGATGGTCGTGGTTGAGGTCCGGCAGAGAACACTGTGGATCGCGGGTCGCAGTTGGACGAGGACGACGAGGACGACGAGGACGACAAGGACGACAAGGATGACAAGGAGGACGAGGAGGAGAGGAGGAGAGGAGGAGGAGGAGGACGAGGCAGGAGGCAGGAGGAGGCAGGAGGAGGCAGGAGGAGGCAGGAGGAGGCAACTGACATAAAATCTAACAACCCTCACCTGGCAGGTGGGGAACAATTGGAAATAAATAGAATTGGAAATAAAAAATGTTGGATAAAAAATTGGATTTCAGCACTGGTGGTTGATTAATCGGGGGTAGGCCCACCGGTTTATTAATCTCGGGGGACCACCTGTTTTTAAATTACACTTTTTTTTTTGGGCAATGGTGGTTGATTAATCGGGAGGGGATTATTAATCCTCACTTGACATTAATTATTAAAGATTGTCATTGTCCATAGCATATAGTTATAAGATGTTATAAGTACCATAAACCATAGTGGATTTATAAACCAACTTAGCTATCTTAGCTACATGAAACACGATGAAACACGATGAAATCCCATGAAACCAGTGACTATGGTGATCCGACGGCATCCGATGGCGTGAGGAGATGCGGCACTTTTCAATGAGACGTGGCCTGGTGGAATGCTGCCATTGGATCTGTCCTAGGATTTAAGGGAACATCTATTATATACAGTATATATATATATGATATATATATATATATATATTTATATATAATACCTAGACCTTCCTGATTCCAAATCCTAAATAAAAAAAAGGTGAACTTCGGAGTTGACTATGCTTTAGGCACAAACGATAGATAGTGGACGCAAACGCTGAAGTTTACTGAGTCTACTGGAAATGAACAATCTGGACACACAGAAGGCCTAAAAAACGTCAAAGATTACCCGCGAAAAACTCGCAAAAAACCCGCAAAAACTGTCCAAATTACGCAAATTTTGAAAAATCCGTGGGTGGGCTGCGAAACGCTGAAATCGATGAAATCTCCTAACCATAATTCACTGAAGATTTTCAGGATTTGGAAGGTGCAGGCGTCCAAGCTGGCCAAGCTCAAAGTAGCCGAAGTAAAAAGAACTCTAAATTAGCCAACTGTTGACATCCAAGCCCATTTCTTCGGTAGTTTCAACTCTTTGTGTCCCATTTCTGTGATAGTTTCAACAGGGGAATTTTCATCTTAGTGATAATATATTATATATATATACGTATATTACCCAGAAGTGTAAATTATCATCATTTTCTCAGAAGTGATCTGCATATCAACTCTCCTCATGTCTGGGTCATATATAAAAAAAAATACTGGGAATCATCCCTAAATGGGTAATTTAGCCATGATATAGCTGGTAGTGGTTAAAAAAAAACATTGGTTGATGATAGAATGGTTGGTAAGTTGCCCAGAAATCATAGCTGGTTGGTGGTTTGGAACATGGCTGGATTATGACTTTCCATTCAGTTGGGAATTTCATAATCATCCCAACTGACTTTCAGTCCATCATTTTTCAGAGGAGTAGGGCTCAACCAGCAACCAGATGATCATTAACCATCATTAACCATATATTAACCCAGTGAAGGAGACGAAACATTTTTTTCTGGTAAAAAGGGTTGCTCCCAACATCCCAGATTCTGCAGATGGTGAGGAAATTGGCCAAACATCCCAGATGGGTGAAACCACCCAGCCCAGTTTTTTCAGGTCGCATTGGCCCCTGCAACGTGGCTTCCATCGTCTTCGTGAGTCTGGTAACGCCCAGAGTTTATCCCCACTGGGCGAACGGAACGCCCCCATGGGGGTTTAACTGTTTAATGGGTTTCAGTGGGATTAAATGGGTTTTCATGGAATTTCAATGGGTTTCCATACGTTTTAGGTGAATTTAATGGGATTTTAATCAGGGTTGCTCCAACATTATGGATAATAAATGATTCCAACAAGGTGGTAAAGTTGGTGGGCAAATTTATTTGGCCAATTTCCCCACCATCTGGGACGTTGGGAGCAACCCTATGAATGTTTTCTGGTTGGTGGTATACCTGCCCCTCTGAAAAATATGAAAGTCAGTTGGGATGATTATTCCCAATATATGGAAAAATAAAACATGTTCCAAACCACCAACCAGTTTCTTTCGTTTAATGGGATTTTCATGGGACAATAATGGAAAGGGTATATTAGACTTAGACTGAATGCTGTATGATTAGTTGCAATATGCACCGTAATTTGAACATGCGGCCCAAAAATCTTGCACAAAGTGGGACCCTTCAAGTATAAGTCTATAAACATGTATAACCTCAACTAGTAGGTTACTCAGTTGAAAACAAACTAAAAACTATCGATTGGGGGACTCAATTTTTAACAGTGGCAATCAAACCACCAAAAGTCTCCGTTGTTTCTTCAAATCTACTGTGGTTGCGAAATCCTGCATCACCTTGCATGGTTGAAACCTTATAAATAATGGGATGCTTACCACTGTTTTCAACTGGTGATTCGGATTTTGCTGGCCCATCCAACCGCAAGCCCAAACCGAGATGGTTCTACCGTGCCCATGCGCTGTACAAAGGTTGCAACGTGGCATCAGAAAAGTGGACCTGCAGACACAGACACAGCAGTGGGGTCACCTGTTTGATGTTTACTACAGCAACACTGGGGAGATGGCGGTTTGTTAATGTCGTTGTTTTAGGTTATGGGGGAACCAACTAACATAGGAAAGATGTGGTGATTGTATGGTCATCATATGATGATTATATGGAGTATATATACGGGGGGTTCTTTAAGTCATGAATCATGAGGGATCTACAAGTCAGCGCGGTTCTTTCAATACTTGGTCATCCATGACCACTGGATGATAACTGGGGCTACTCCCATGACGTTGGAAAGCTCCAAATCATGGACTGAGTCGATGTTTGAATCAACCAGATATGCTGTGGGTCAAACCTTTTGGAGATCTAAGTCTTAGTTTTTATGTTTTTGTACTCTAGAAATGCAGAGAATTTAGCCACTAATATGAGCATCATGGGGATTTCACCAACGGGTGATGATGACTGGTGACACTGATGACACTGTGTCATCGGGAAGTACAATACTCGTTGGACGTATGGTGGATCTACCCAACCTCTTGCCATTGCCTGGATCACCCAGGAAAATAAGAAGCTGATAAAATCCACGAACCTGAACGCATTTCTGTGAAGGCATGTCCATTGGGAGACTAAGCCCTCAAGAATTCACATTGCACACTTCGCACTCCATCTGCACTTCGCGCTTCACACTGAAAATTGTACATTTTACGCTCCACTCTCCACACTCTGCACTCTACACTCCACTTCGAACTCCACACTCTACACTTTACGCTCCACTCTCTACACTGCACTCCGGAGTATTGTTCTCAACGATCACAGCAACACCGCAAGAAAACACACTTGCTCATATGACTCATATCGCTGTTTTTTGTGGTCAAGATCGCAAACGATCGCCAATCTTGCAATTATAATTAAACCATGGTTTGTTGGTTAACATCATACTGTACATAATGTGTATATTATATATATATATACACCTCCCTCTCCTGGAAACGCAGGTCCCAGGGTGGTAGCATAATATATATATATATATCTATACATGCATATTAATAACCCCTTCCCAAACAATATGATGATACATAGCATTAGTATGTATCTTTCGTTTTACGTATATATATATATATACATGACACATAATACATATATATTGTGATTTGTCTATTTCCCAAACCTTGTGCACCAATCCGGGTTGTGTCATCGCCATGTCCGCATGCTTGACCAAAGGGGTTTGCCAACTTCCTCTGCATCCGGCATTTTGCTTGAAGGCCCAAGAGGGGTTGACCTGTGGTGTGCCTTGGAAAAAGGGCACTAGGCGCGTGGTCTTTGGTGGAGCCATAGGGTTGGCCTTTTACATCATTTCCATATCGATCGTGGACGATCTTCCTTCGGTTATTGGTTCAGGAGGACCCCACTTCTCATTTTGGTTGGATCAGGGAATCCAAGGTACATCTTCAACTGGAGTGTCTAGGCCCCTACCATTGCATCATCCGCATTGGTAGCGGAGCTACGAGCTCCTTGGAGATTGGTGTGTTCATCAGGCGGTGAACAAGGTGAAGAAGCCACTTCAACTAGTGTCTCCGGAAAGGAGGTGATCCGAGGGCATTACAGTTTTTGGAGTGGAATACAGTATGAGTGCCGATGGGGAGGCATCCGGAAGTCAGGGCCCTGGGGGTTCTGCATCATTCCTCCCATGGCATTTGATCCCTTCGTTTGATCCTGGCGAAACAGATCTTTCAGATTACACGCGGCGACTGGAGTTTTTGGCTGGCATATGGCCATCGGACCAGCTTCAGCATCTAGCTCCTCGTGCTGCTCTCATGTGTAAGGGCTCAGCTTTTCAGAAAGTTTTGCGGCTTGATCCTGAGAAACTGAAAGTGAAGTCACCTGATGGCGTGAAGTTGATCGTCACGACACTGGGTGGAGTCTGGGGGAAAACAGTTTTGGAGAACAAGTATGAGAAGTTTGAGAAAGCAATTTACGGCATTTCCCAGCGTCAAGACGAAAGCAACGATTCATACCTGGCCAGACATGAGATTTTGTTCGAAGATTTGATTTCCCAAGGTGCACAACTGTCGGAGATGAGAGCCTACATTCTCCTTAGGAATTCAACTCTTTCCTCAGAAGACAAAAAGAAGGTCCTGGTAGAGTCGAAAGGTGATCTGAAGTATGATACAGTGACCACTGCTATCAGGATGTTGGGTGCCAAATTCTTTCAAGATGTGCAGGGCAATCAGAAGATCAGCAAAACCAAAACGTACGATGTCAATTACGTCCAAGAGTTGGAAGAGGAGCCCCACTTTGATGACTCCTCTCATGCCTTTCAGCTGGATCATGTTGACTTGACCGAGGCCTTGGTCGATCAGTTCATCCAGGAAGGCGACGAGGATGCACTTGTGGTGCAACAATTCGAAGATGCGATGATTGATACAATCCAGAACGACCAGGAAATGACAGCATACATGAATGCCTATGTAGAGGCACGCAAGAGGTTGACGGAAAAGACGAAGAGCCGTGGGTTCTGGCCTGTGAGAGCCAAAGGCTCTGGAAAAAAAGGAAAGGGTAAAAATCTTTTCATGCGATCCCGGAAGCCCCTAGCTCTTAGGATAGCTGAAAGTGAGTGCAGACTATGTGGTGTCCGCGGTCACTGGAAGGCTGAGTGTCCGAAGAGGTTTTCCAACACCCCTGCATCCGTTCCGAAAGCACAGCCTGTGAATGCCATGATCTCCGTCACAGACACCTGTGACGATGAAGCTGATGTCTTTGTGATGGAGTCGTATGCCGACATGCCTGTCCCATTGTCTCATGCCGCCCAGGTGCCACAGGGTTTTGGGTCAGTTGTCCACTCCCATAACTGCTGTGTATGTTGGGGCCTAAAGGATAATGGGGATATAAGACAAAGTCATGGTATGTACTATAATCAGGTGAAGGACCGAATGCAGTGCCTTCTCAAGTCTATCTCGCATCCGGCCAACAGGTGGAAGGGTCCTGAATCACCACTGAGCAACCCCTCTCCAATGACGATGCCTGATGATAGCGTGTCTTCCGGTAGTGTGTCTTCCGACAGCATGATGTCTTGCAGGTCAAAGCATGTCCACACAGAAGAACATGAGTCAACTGCAGCCGAACAATCCTCAGTGGAACCCATCATGTTTGCAACGTCCAGCACTGTGGGCATTCTTGATCTGGGAGCATCTCAGACAGTCATGGGACGTCACCAGGTACCTGAGTTTCTTGGGAACCTACCTGCAGAGATTCGGAAGCAAGTTTTTGAGAAGCCTGTTCCAATGTCTTTCCGATTCGGGAACAACAGTACTGTGCCTTGCCGTCATGCGATGTTTGTACCAGTGGATAAGTTTTGGATTAAAATTGCCATCGTGGATTCAAGAACCCCATTTCTGATCTCTAACAATGTTTGTCGCAGTCTCGGAGCCGTGATTGACACCCTAGCACAGACCATTCAGTTCAAAGAACTGGGATGCACTTTGCCACTGTCCTTGTCGGGCAAGAAGTTGTTCCTTTTAGATGTTTGTGATCTGATCGCACAGAAGCCTCCAAGACCAGTGGAGCCCCGAGAAAGTGATGCCAGTGTGTGCGATCGAGTGCTTGTATGTCAATCCCTAGACCACAGCAATGATCAGAACTCGTCATGTCTGAAGGATGTGCAATCAGAAAATCCAGCTCAGACATCAGTCCAAGTCGAAAACCAACATGCAGAGTCCAGACCTGATGTCAGCGATGTGCCACCATGTTTACATGTACAGCCCGTTTTGGCCAAAGATATCCATCTGCACCCTGATCCCTCTCCGTCGTTGACGTCTGTCCGTGTTTCCAGGAGCCATGTCCATGAAACAGCTGGCAGATCGATTCGAAGCGGTGAAGCAGAAGACCGGCCAAGCCGAGAAGACAGCGGAGCTCAATCAGATGAGCTATGCCCAGCTGTCCCAGATGACGATCAAGTTTGGAGAAGCCAAGATCGGCAAGACGTATGGGGAAGTTCTGCAGAACGACCCTCGATACTGCCAATGGTTCCTGAAGAAGTATGCCGAGAGCGAGAAGCCAGAGCACATGGAGTTCGCCCACTTCCTGGCCCTCTACGTGGAGCGACAGGAATTGATGATGGAGAAGGCCGAACCAGATCATCCCAAGATGCCTCGAGCCAAAGCCAAGGCCAAGAGTGCAGCAATGCCGTCGTTCACAGAAGGATCCATGATGGGGTCTGTGATCGATCTGGAAGAGGACGATCTCTGGGAGGCACTGACCGAGAACCAGAAGTCCCAGCAGGCCGAGATCCACAACAGCCAGCGACTCGATCAACTGGAAGGTGCTCTGAGCCAATTGATGGGGCAGATCCAACAGCTGACATGTCAGGTGTCCATCATGGCATCTCGCGAACAGCCAGCGCCATAGAGACATCTCTGCTGGAGCGATGTGTGGAAGAATATAATGCCTTTGTCAAAACAATGAATTCTGAGGTATGTGCTTCTGTGTCTGAAACAAACCCCATTCTTCAAGAGATGCGAGTGTTTTTCTTTCAACATGGGTTTGATCCAAGTGTACACAATCAACCTCGATTAGATGTTTTGGAAGTATACTGCTCCAGTGAGAGCCAGCTGACTCAGCAATGTCTCCGACAAGGCCTTCGGGCCAAGCGCTTCTGTTTGCAGGATGGGGATCTTTCGGTGCAATCTGGCAGGTTCAAACTCTATGAAGTGCTGATGAAACACCGGCCCAGACATATCTGGACAGCTCCTCGCTGTAAAGCATGGTGTCGATGGAGTCAATTCAATGCCGGTCGTTCCGTTGCCATGGCTGAACAGGTGATGCAAGCTAGAGATGCTGACCAAGTTCATTTACAACTTTGTGATGCTTTGTTCCAATATCAGTGTATCATGGGCCCGAGTTTTCACTACCATTTAGAACAACCAAAAGGATCCCATATGATTTTCCAGGAACCCTTGCAGTCGATTGTGAACAAATCCATCCGAGCTTGTTGTGACATGTGTACAGCAGGTAAGCTCAGAAATCCTGAAAC